ACCTTATTAGAAAGTATTTTATTGGAGAAAACAAAATCAACTACTGATTGATAATTCTCATATTTAAATTTTAAAATAGAGAGTACCACATACACAAAAATCTCTGATTTTATTGGTGGAAAGAATTGTGTATGTTACTTTTCACTTAAATTTCAGATGTTAGTTTTCACTTAGTGAAGACTAGTATCTTTGTCACTCATTGGTCCTGAAAAGCTGGGACTATAATTTCTAAAAGTGAATTTTCAAAAGTCAATAATTTTGCCAACCAACAGAATTCACTGTAATGGAATTTTATCTGTAAGAACATAAATAAGGAAGAAACATAAAATGATTTTATTGCTATATTAAAACATGGAGACCATTGCTTTATGACTTTTTTTTTTGTATCAAAGAGAAATGAGAATAAAAAATGGGTTGATTTTGTATCATAAACAAGGCCTAATTTGAAAGTGGAAATAGGCTTAGATGAGAATATTTATTTTAATTATTATAATAGTAATATTATTGATACTTCATAAGGCATATTTCTCAGGAATTGCCTTTTGGTGCTAAGCTATTTTAATACTTCTTTGTAAACAATCTATAGTAACAGTGGTGAATATGAATGAAGAGTAAGTGCACAAATCTAATCTTACATTGTGCCAGTGTATATGAACAACAACAACAACAAAATTAATGTAGTGATGTTGAAAATAGACTGTTTAGTCATTCCTTTACTCATTCAACAAAGCAGTTAGCATGTACCAGACCCTTGTGCTCAGGGAATATAGAAATGAGAAAAGACAGTCTACCTTCCACTGCTAAGTCAGGGTTCAGAGAGTATAAGTGAATAGAATTTAGTGTGGAAAGTGCTAGAATGATTGCATGGCCACAGAAAAGGCTGTGGAGGGGGAAACAGTTCTGGGTGCAAGTGGCAGTGCAACTGAGTATTGAAGACTCAGTGTTAGGCAGGCAGACAGTGGTAAGTTAGGCCAAGATCCCCACATGCACTGTTCTTAAGTTTTTTACCCTCTTTTATTTAATTTATAAGGGAAATGAATGTCAAAATTTCATTTGAAACACTAGAGGCAGGGAAGGGATTTAGAAGTAAGGGATATGGGTTTTCAAAATGGCATTGCAGGTTTTTCAGTACTGCTTTGTGAATGAAGTAGCCCACAGAGGACCTGTTTGGATTTGTTGTTTCAAGTTTCCATACATCAGTTACAATCTGGTCAGCTCTAGGAAAGGAATTTTCAGCATGTGCACCTTGAATGCTTTCCTATGTGAATTTACAGCAGCCCCATGGACACTAGTATATAAGGTATTTAAGGTGTTTTAAAAGCCTTATTGATGTTTTCAAAAATGTGATTAGTCCATGGACTTAATTTAGATAGATTTCATACCCACTCATATAAGTTTTTCTTCTTTGTTGCAAAATCCTTGGAAGCTCACATTTTTAGTCTAGATTCTCTGCTTTTATTTATAAAGATTAATAACAAAATTACAATTATAATTCACTTAGCCTTTTCAGTAGTATCTGGTGAGTTCCTCATATAACCAGTAGTTGTTGTTAAATGATGCCAAGTCGATTCTGACCCATAGCAACCCTGTATAGGGTTTCCAAGGAGCGGCTGGTGAGCTTGAAACACCGACCTTGCAGTTCAAATGACTTTGTAGTCTGACACATGAGCCCGCAGCAACACACCAGGACTCAACCGGTGACGCGTCCAGCATCAGATATTCTGTGTGACCCGTGTGAAGAGATTAAACCCAAGTAGTGGCGACAGGAGATTAGAAGACAAAGGAAGGCTCAAGACACAAATGAAATAAGTAAAGTTGAGACCAGGTGGGACATAGCACTATGATGGAGATACTATGACACAGACCAAGTGCAACAAGTTTCTTTTATACAAAACTCAAGGGGATGTACTTGAGGGAAGGTTAGGGGTACAAGAACATCTTGTACTGATAGTGCATGCAGCAAGCGGAACTTTATCAGAAAAACTGTAACTTGTTGTAGCTAGCTGGAACACAGATTAGAGTGGCTAGAATGTTGCGCAGATTGAGCCAAAGGACATGGCTGTGTACAAAGAAAGACTTTACAAGTTCCCTGTCCCCTGAGGCAGCTCTGCAAGTTCCTCAGGGGGCAGCTTGACTTGGATGCAGCCGGAGTTTCTGGACCACAACTGTTCAGTTGCAATCCTTTGGTTAAACTACCCCCAAGTTAGGGACCTTCGGCTCAGTTGCTCCCAACAAACCCGTAGTTAGGGAGTAGTTATTATCCACTAAGCAACATGAGTCTAATTCACAAACTTTCTTAAAAATGTTTATTGAACTATTTTGTTGTTGTTATGTGCCGTGGAGTCAGTTCTGACTCATAGCGACCCTGTACTGGGTTTCCAAGGCTGTAAATCTTTATGGGCGCAGAAAGCCTCATCT